TGACAAGGCATTGTCCATAACGCCGTTTTCCAGCACCTCCTGGTACAGTGAAGGTCGACAACTTAGCTGAAGAACTCCACTCTCATAACTGGACAAACCAGGAGCTAAGGGTCTTTCTTGCCAAGGTAAATGAATGTAATTAAATTGTATCCGGGGAGCCTGGACGCTCTTGGTGCGAAGTCGTCATCAAAGGGGCAGGATACCGAAAAACCAGGGACTATTGCAGTGCTCAGGTTGACCTGGACGGAATATGTAAGCATCATTACTTGTAATGTCTTATGTTATACCGAAGCAATGAAGGTAGCATGATAAAAAATTAAAACCCATGTATATATTATGATGAAAATTAGTAAGTGTGCTAGGTATCATTCAGGTATCAGTATCACTTTCTATGATAATATTTCATAAGTAATGACAACTAACTAACTTAAAAATACTGATGATACAAAACAAAGTAATATAAAACTAGCAATGAGCCAAGTTACAGTTACCAAGACAGAACAAGGGGCGGGGGGGGGGGGGGCAGCGGCTGCGGAGGATAACCCGAAGACAACTCGGATCCTCGCAGCAGCGTATGGTCCGTCCAAGCGACTGACGATACAGCTTAAGGAGATCGTTAGTCTATTTCATTCCTTAATGTTCATGACAGAACCCATTAAGACATCGTGCACCGAGATTGGCACGAGGGCCTTGAAACGTCCAGGGAGATGTAGCAGCAGACAGAGCCTGTCAGAACCGAACCGGACTGTCCAGAGACTCGAGGTGTTTCGACTTCTGAGATGGACCAGCCAGCAGCGACCGGAAGGGCACCGACGGATAATCGGCTTAGAAACCGATCATTGAACTATTAGAAGGTCAAGATATGCTTGAGAAAGCAAGTAGGAGATAAATGCATGCCATGGAAGCGACAAGCTTAACCATATGAAGAACATGGGTGATACGTCGGAAGACACCACGTTAGAACGAATGGATAAAGATGTGGGATAGGATTCTGCCGTCCGAGCTCAATAGCCATGACGGCTTTAGAGAACCCGACAGAGTAAACCAGTGTGGCGACTCGAAGAGCAGCATCCGCTTCATGATGCAAGGCGTGGCTACCACTGAACTCAATTTCTTATCCATCAGCTTCTTGTTGATGAAAGATGTTGAATTGACACCACAACGCTCCCAAATCTCATGCACAACGGCACCATCGCGCAACGGCGCATTCTGTCGGCGGACCAACAAGAAAAGTGTTTCACCACACCATGAACGGAAATGTCAGAATCGCGCCATAACTGGCGGCAAATCCCAGATTTCCGGAAAAAATCCGGCATTGGAAGTCCCGAATGTAATCCAGATTTCCCTGTGCATGGTTACGGAAACGCCTCTGGTAATCCCTATTACGCTCCCGAGGGAATTCCCAGTTGTAATCCAACCTTGCCGTGAAAACGGGGCAATAGGAACAAAGCATAAGCATTGCAAATGAAATCATTGTTCGGACTACCGTCCTTCTTTGCTGCGCACGCGCAACATAATGCTCAATAACATCTGACGGCGGCTGGAGACTCGATTTTTCTGAACGTGATGCGCATACTCAGACAGCAGAGCAGAACGATAATCCGAACAACTTGTTCATTTGCAACCATGACGCTGTTGTCATGAGCCGTCGCAGTGTTTTCGACACCATGAAGACTCATTCAGGTTGCGTTTCACGCCTGGAAATATCAATAATTGATGACATTCGCTGTCGGGGATTTGCCCAATTTCGTTGGGGTTTTCATTTTCCCCATCGAGGACTCGCCCGGCTCGTGTCTTATTCTTTATATCTTCTGTCAATTGCTCCTCTACAAAGTGGGGCCGCGTTCGCTGGACGCAGCAGCTTTAGTACCTTGTACGCGACATGTAGTCCTTTATATCCATGTTAAGGTGATCAACGTTAATAAACAAACACATTTTACGTTCGCGTGGTCAAGCCAGCGAACCTTCAAGAACTGACAGACGCCTTCAGACTTGAGATGGGGCGCATTACCGTCAACAAGATAGACTAGTCAACCGACTATCTGCAGCAGGTTCTGCTGTTACGCGTCCTAGATCGCCCAAGGGGCTATCTGGGGGAATTTTGTAGTCAGTATTTGACAGACGTGGAATCTCTGACTACGAATGTCGCTGCTCGTGTTATGCTATTGAATTGACTGTCAAATGCTACCGCAATCACGCTCGCGCGGTAACTACACTTGCCATTGTGGAGGGAAACGTAAGTGGCCTTTTGTCTGGATTATCTTGCACTTTAAAAAGCTGCCGCATGTTGCAGCTCATTTGTTTGTTCTGGTCTTTTTGCACATATCATAAAAAGCTACCAGCGTTTGCAGACCGGCCTAACCTAGGGGCAGGTGGCAGAGTGCAAACACTAAAACATGACGTTATTTTGGCACAAAATGAACATGATGTCAAAAGTGATGTATTGAGCTACTTAAAGCATCAACAGTTCAGAGAAATATACTGCATTTCTTTGGTCCAGCATTCCCTTTTTGTCTCAAACGCATTGGGGGGGGGGGGGGAGGGGCTCAAAAGAGCATTAAGGAGCCCGAGCCAACATTTGGGGAGGGAAGGGGGGGGGGGTGCTCAGGCTCCCTCGAAAATATTCAAAATTGACCCCCCCCCCTACCAGTATCAACAAGTAGTGGGTCGTTAAAACGGTGTCAGCTGTTGTTACGCCAGATAACCCACAATTCTCTGGAAACTGGCAAACTGCATGATGCACGGCGGGACGACGCTCAATTATGGTAGAACGATAAAAGGCAATGTAAAATCATAGCTAAAACCGGAAACGACAAGACGCCGTTTTCGTTGCACTTATGAATTTACTGCGTCGCAAAATGAGATAATTGCAACTTTCTTGCCACACCGGTGCAAAGCCACTGCGATTTTTCCTGTCCTTACCGCCGTGCCACACGGTCATTCGTGTTTTACTACATCTGTGTTTTTCGGCACGCCCGAGCGCTCTAGGTCACGTGAGCTGAGGGGCGCGGCTGTATTTCGTGTTTTTATCCGATCCCCGTTCGCCGCCACTGCGTCGCTTTGAGGTGAAGCCGTCACGCGTGTCGACAGGGGCGGGTTCGTCGCGCGCTTTCAAAACACGGGGCCCGAGTAGGACGGGGTGCGCTCAATCACAGGTTGCGGGAACGATAATGGCCCTGCTCCTTTCACCAAAACATTCGCTCCAGTGCCCTGGCATTACATGAGCGCAGTCACGACCACATCAATGGCCATTGTAGAGGGCCAGCCGTTGACTATTAATCGAGTGAATCGCATGAGTTGCCGGATAAATCGGACTACTCCTGTCATGTCCGTCGAGCGGAGGCTTTTTCCAGGCTCGCGCTGTCACATCGTTCGCTCTGTAAGAGTCAAATTGTTCAGGACGTCATTGCGGCACTGGCACCAGCATCAGTCTAGAACTCTAGATGCATGGGTGGACGTGCCTGCCCACCTGGAAACGGAGAGCTCCCGTTGGTACCAGCGCCAGTGCCGGCTTTCGATGCGTTCGGCCCATGCGTCGAATGTGGCAGCTTTCCGTATCACCTTGTCACATCACATTGTCACATTGTCATGTCGTGTCACACCACGCTGACAAAGTGTCAGCATTACCAGTTTTGCCACCAGCAGTAGCACCGGCTCGGGTTCAGCTGTAGCTGCCGGTATACGATGCCACCAGAACCCTCGAGTCTACTCAAATGCACCTCGGGCTTACTCAACTTCCTGCCAAGCGCTGCATGGTGCCTGTGTATGTGTGACTGACGCAGCAGCCAGGCGTTGACAACAGCACAGCTGGTGGTGTCGTTGGAATAGGAAATTTTGCCTGGGAGACAGACGGTGGTCAAGAACCTTGAAATCCCGATATCAAAATCTACGACCCACTCTTCCTTGGTCTTCTTTTCTGAGCGGCTGCTGCCCAGCTCTCTTCCGCCCAACACTGTCCGTGTCTCATCGTGTGCACTGCAGAATGTTATCAAAGGAGTTGATAACAAACGCTGAGCGTTATGCCGTAAAATTGGTGTTGTTCGCTGGTTTTATTGTCAGTACGTATCGTTGGCTTTGATTAGTCGAAAACATGTTTATGCCTTTTCGTGTTTGTTTTTCGATATTTTTATCATTTTTCAGCTCTCATTTTTTCATTATATAACAAATGCGTCATCTTCTGAGAGCTTGGTTCTGAAGAGTGCATGCTATAGACCTATCACACGTGGAGCTTTATAAAATGGTGGGTCCCTAAGACAGTGGTAGCTTTGTTATGTCAGATGATGCCTAATTTCTTTTGTAACTTGAGGAGCTGTGAATAATAGCGTATTGCTTTCTTGAATATCAGAGGAAAGAATGGGCGAGTGATTTGAAACTATAACTCAGGACTAGCCCTCAACACCACAAACACTGTCATCGTTATAATTGTTGGTTTTTTACAGGGTCGCGGAATGCTACTAATGCGACCCCCTGGCCATTCCAATGTGTGTGTCTGGTCGACTTCCGTACCTTCATTCCGTGTACGCTGTATGTCCAGACGTTAAAACCCATGCCGTCCCCATCTCCAGATCAGCTCCATCCGTGTCCTCACGTGCTGGGATCGTGCATGTCCAGACGTCTGGAGACGGATATTTCCCGGATATTTCCCAGATATTTCCCAGATATTTTCCATTTTCAGCTCTGCTGCGCCTGTGTCTACTCGCGCTGGCGTCGTGGGCGGCGGCCGCCGCCGAATACGAGGGCGGCGGCGACTCGGACCCGTACGGCACCGACGCGGAGCTCGAGCCGGGCGACGACCTGCTGGTGGAGACGCACGAGGGCCTGCTGGAGGGCGTGACGCTGACGGCCGGCTCCGGCCGCCTGGTGGACGCATGGCTGGGCGTGCCATTCGCGCAGCCGCCAGTCGGGCCGCTGCGTTTCCGGCCGCCGGTGCCGGGCCGCGTCGTGGGAGGGCGTGCGGCCGGCGCAGCGCCAGCCCAACTCCTGCTGGCAGGTGCTCGACGAGTTCTTCGGCGACTTCGACGGCGCCACCATGTGGAACGCCAACACACCGCGCAGCGAGGATTGCCTGTACCTGAGCGTGACGCGGCCAAGACCGCGGCCTTCGCGGCCGGCACCTGTGCTCGTCTGGATCTACGGCGGCGGCTTCTACAGCGGCACGGCCACGCTGGACGTCTACGAACCGAGCGTGCTGGCGGCGGAGGGCGGCGTCATCGTCGTGGCGATCCAGTACCGCGTCGCTTCGCTCGGCTTCCTGCAGCTGGACGCGGCGCCGGGCAACGTCGGTCTGCTGGACCAGGTGCTGGCGCTGCGCTGGGTGCGGCGCAACATCGCCCGCTTCGGCGGCGACCCGGAGCGTGTCACGCTCTTCGGCAACTCGGCCGGCGCGGTCAGCGTCAGCATGCACCTGCTGTCGCCGCTGTCGGCGCCGCTCTTCCGGCGCGCCGTGCTGCAGTCGGGCTCGGCCACCAACCCGTGGGCGGTGCTGAGCGCGGAGGAGGCGCGCCGCCGCGCGCTACGGCTGGCCGAGGAGGTCGACTGTCCGCGTGCGCCGGCGGCGCGCGCGCTCGCCTGCCTCCGCCAGACGAGTGCCGAGCGCCTGGTGAACGCCGAGTTCTTCACCACCGGCATCTGCGAGTTCCCGTTCGTGCCGGTGGTGGACGGCGAGTTTCTCCCCGAGGACCCGGCCGAGGCGCTCGCCGCCGGCCGCTTCAAGCGCGCCGAGCTCCTGGCCGGCAGCGTCGCCGAGGAGGGCAACTACTTTCTGCTGTACTACCTCGCCGAGTACGCCAACCTGACGGTGGTGCCGAGCCCGAGCCGGGCCGACTTCACGCGGCACGTGGCCGCCCTGCTGCCGCGGCTCTCCGAGCCGGCGCGGCTCGCCGTCAGCCACGAGTACACCGACTGGACGCGGCCAGTACGCGCCGGCCACACTCCGCGACGGCCTCGACAAGCTGGTCGGCGACCAGCAGTTCGCCTGCGGCGTCAACGATTTCGCGGCGGCGTATGCGCGCGAGGGCGGCGCCGTGTTCGTCTATCAGCTGCGCCAGCGCGCGCCCGGCTCGCTCTGGCCCCAGTGGACGGGCGTGCTGCACGGAGACGAGGTGGCGTACGTGTTCGGCGTGCCGCTTCGCGCCGGCGGGAGCTTCAGCCGCGAGGAGGTCACGCTGTCCAAAAGGATGATCGGTTACTGGACTAACTTCGCCAAGACCGGGTGAGGAACTGGGACGTGCTGGTGGTGTGTGCAAGCAACCCAGGCGGCTGTCGCGCCCTTAAAACTCAATAACAACGATGCGTTGGAGGCGCTCCATTGCCTGTGGTGGTCTACTGATACGCTTGACCAGGACAATGCCTGCGAAATTAGTTCGTCACACGCATGAAGCTTGCCGTGTTTTGTGATATCAAATCGCTTAGTCGAAACGCTTGGGGACTAATGCACTTGTCCAGCGCCCTGCAGTGCTGCCTCTGTCGACACACAAGCTCCAGTTTTCGACCGCCCAAGGTTCCCATCGCACAAGCTGACTCTGGTCACGATGAAGTGGTGCAATGCGCGTGCAGGTCCTTAGGTTCCCCGCGCTGAGTTAGCGGCCTGCAGCTTTTGTAGTGTTGCAATGATCCCTTGAATGCAGGGGTGAACCAGGAATTTCCTTCAAGGGCCCGAAACTGGGTGCTAACGCACCGCGCAGATCTCGGCTTTCCATCAGGGTCCATCTAAGGTAAAAAAATAATAAAAGAGGAGTTAAGCCGCCATCCGACATGCCTCCCATTGTGAGCGCCCCTGTTTGGATGCATTCAGTGGCGCGCACCATGCGGATCTGCAGCTGCCGCACCACTCCCTGTCGACCCCCTCTCACCTCTCCCCTGAGCCGGAGCGCACTCTCACCCGCCCCCTTACCCACTCCGCCGGCAGGGACCCGAACCAGTCAGGTGACCAATGCGCCCTGGACGGAGGCGCCTCGGCCGACTGGCCCCTGTACGAGCCGAGCGGCCAGCGGTACCTGGTGCTGGCGGCCAACACGCGCGCCACCGGCCGCGGCCTGCGGGCCCGCCAGTGCGCGCTGTGGTCCAACCTCGTGCCGCCACTCAACAGCACGGCCTTCGGTCTTAGCGCGTAGCGGTCTGGTGGCTCTGGTGGCTCGGTCTGGTCGTCTGGTGTGGTGGCTCGGGTCACCAGGGCGACGGGTGTAGCTGACGTCTGTCCCCCACTGGTCCGTAGGCGGCGGTGTAGCCGACGTCTGACCCTCACTGGTCCCTGGGGTGGTGAGGAACCGACGTCTGATTCTCACGGTCTGTAGGGCGACGGTGTAGCCGACGTCGACCCTCACAGTCCCTGGGGCGGGCGTGTAGCCGACTTCTGACCCTCAACCGTCCCTGGGACGGTGGTGTAGCCGACGTCTCTGACCCTCACCGGTCCCTGGGGTGGCGGTGTAGCCGACGTCTGACCCTCACAGGTCCCTGGGTGGAGGTGTAGCCGACGTCTGACCCTCACCGGTCCCTGGGGTGGTTGATGAGCCGACGTCTGATTCTCACCGGTCTGTAGGGGCGACGGTGTAGCCGACGTCGACCCTCACAGGTCCTGGGGGCGCGGTGTAAGCCGACGTCTGGACCCTCACCGGTCCCTGGGGTGGTGGTGTAGCCGACGTCTGACCTCACAGTTCCCTGGGGCGGTGGTGTAGCGACGTCTGACCCTCACCGGTCCCTGGGGTGGTGATGGAGCCGAAGTCTGATTCTCACCGGTCTGTAGGGCGACGGTGTAGCCGACGTCTGACCCTCACAGGTCCCTGGGACGGTGGTGTAGCCGACGTCTGATCCTCACTGGTCCCTGGGGCGGCGGTGTAGCCGACGTCTGACCCTCACAGGTCCCTGGGGCGGTGGTGTAGCCGATGTCTGACCCTCACCGGTCCCTGGAGTGGCGGTGGAGCCGACGTCTGATCCTCACCGGTCTGTAGGGCGACGGTGGAGCTGACATCTGACCCTCATCGGTGTCCTCACCCCCTAGGATGAGCCCAGCAGCGGCAATGCAGCTAGCGGCGGTGTCCCGCTGGAGCGGCCGGGCATGGTCGGCCTCCGCGCACAAGATCATGGTTGTGTCGTTGAACTCTCTCTGGATATGTGTTCTCCGTAGCCGGACTGGCATTGGGTCTGTGTTCTCTGTGTTCGTACCACCCATGAGCCCGCGATCTATAGTTTGTCCCCGCCCGGACACGATCGTCCCATTGCCAAGTCTCAATGGGCGCAGATCGGACTGACCTAGCCGTTCGCATGGCCACCTTGCACGATCACGGGGACGGACGGAGGGCTCACCTGTCCTCTGCACCGAAGTAGTGCAGATGACATGCTAGCGCACACATGTTGGCTCAAAACACACTCAGGTACTGGCTTTGGAAATATGTGACGTATTCAACGTGATGTGCATTATGACGCGACAATACACGGGGTGACGTCATAGACAATTCGAAATGTGTGGTGCTTACCATTGAGGCGGCACCAATACTAATGCTCACAAACAGCCCTCGCGAGTCAAACATTGGGCTGGAGGCGGTCGAGCACAATGCGGCACCACATTTTAATGCGGGATTATTGGTGGCTCCACGAGAAAAGCTATTTGGCCACGGCAACTATCGAGTTCTGAAGTTCTCAACTATCAAGCTCAAGTTCTCTTCAAACACATTAGTAACTCACCATGGGAGCAGCCAATATTTTAGGAACAATGATGCATATGTGCACGGAGGACGAACGTGTCACGTGTCTGGTAGTGAACCAATCGTCATGCGCTCCGTTTCATCGGCGCATGCGTGGTCTGGCTGCTCGTTGTTTGCTGCGAGCTAATTTGAAACCCGCTTATCAAGATCGCAGCCGGGATGCTGACAGCTCATTGGTCCGTTCGAGTGATCCCTGTGACTGCCGATACCAGCTTTTTTTGCCGATTATCTGCCTCACCCGCCTGCACCTAGCCAATGGCTTATCTGCAAGGCTTCGTGGAGACCGCCAGCGAGTCACTTTTAAAGCGGGTTTTGCACAGCTTGATGCGCTCGAAGGAACAATATTGCAGCTCGCTCTGAAAGATTGAGTCACAACAGCCCGCACTGGGAACGGCGGGGGGGGGGGGGGGGGCAGAATCTGTCCATCTCCTGCTTTTTGTGCGTTTTCCACTAACATAGCACTGAACTGATCTGAATCGGCTTGGCCATATGTGTTTTATGCGGACCACCGCGCGGCACCGTGTGCCAGACAGTATGATAGTGGAGTTCAGATCATTGATTATTTTGATATATCTTTCAAGGCAGTGGCTGCCTTAAATCATGCTTTTTCCAGTGAACCTTGGTAACCCATGACTATAAATACAGGCTCGAGACGTTGAGTTTTGTCGGCATTAGCAGAGCTCACCTCATCAATTTGTTTTAACCTGTACTTTCTGGCAAACTGAAGGTCGATTATTTTCATCACGAGGCTGCTTAACCCCACAACAGTTCTCTGAAAATCACAGCACGAACGAATGGCGTTTGTGAGTGCGAGTACATTCTCTTCAACTTGTCGACGATGCAGCCACTCCGTTGTAGGTGGGCCACATCAGCAAGATTTGCCGCATATCTCTCGTACTCTGTGCGATCTATTCGATCTCGCTTGCGGTTTGCAGCGATTTTTAAAATTAAAACGACCATAATGGAATCCAGGTAGAATCGTCACAAGCATGAAAAGCACTCACTACGAACATCCTAGCCCTAATATTTTATTAATCAAAAGCAAATAAACTCCCACCTTATGGATTTATACAACTATGCGACAATAGAAAATAGCTGTCGGCTCATTTTGTTTCTTGGCTTTTTTCCACTTATGAGAAACCGCTTCACGGCAAATATGTTTGCGCTTCTCACAGTCTTTGCCTGAAGCGGTGTGTGGTAATACCACAGACGCTTAGTCGGACGCGAGCTGCTGGCAGAAAAAGCGACTTTCTCACTGTGTGTGTGCGTGGGGGGGGGGGGGGGAGAGATTTGGCCACTCGCTGTGCCAATCACAACTGTTCATTGGCGCTGACGATATTCATACCAGTAGTAGTGTCACTTTTAAGCCCACAAGCCACCAATGCTTGAGTTAAAAAAGCCCAAAAGTGGTACCTTTAGTTCACTAGAGATGACGACGGGCCACAGCAAGATTCTGGCATCGTCAGGTTCGCGAGGTACGCTACAAAAACTTTGAAGGCTACAAGGAAAGAAAGGAATGTAACGCTGTGCCAAAACATTGACAGCGGTATTGTATTCGGAGTCACACCGCGGCTGGCCACTCCACACAAAACGGCGAACTGCCGCACGCAACGCCGACAGGGAGACTCACTCTACACGCCCCGAGCAGCACCTTTTAACCCCTTTCAACCCCACCCGCGACACCCGCAACAACAGGATGTCCGCCGATTCCGTCCCAGTCGCCGTTGGTGCGTGCTTCCGCGTTGTCCGGGTTGTCAACGACTGCACCAGAGGCCTCCTGGTTTGGACCGGCCCGCGGGCCAGGGGCAAGGGGTCCGTCGTCCCCTCGTCACTGGCCGTCACAGCGTATGCATCGACCTATACCGAGGCCGCAGGTCCCGCACGTACCACGGTACGCCCGTCCACCTCGGCGACCTGCGATGACACGATCCGCGTGACGGTGCCCTGACGAGATGGTTGCCGTACATCGCGGGGTGGCGTCCAGCCCTTGCACATTGTTGATGCGATCCTGCGGACAGATTCCCTCGGTCGCAGTCAAGCAGCCATCTTCCATCACGCCCCGCCGTCCGGCGTTCTCGACGACGACACTGGCCGCGATCGAGCTGGCGTCGGTCCAAACGATCGCGCGTCTCCGGCTCAGCACCACCGGCCGCGCGCCGGGTCTACAGCTGACAGGCGCTCACCACACGTGTCCGATCTGGGTCGTGCAGATCTCGTCAATCCGCGACGTCATCCCAGCCGTCGGTCGCTGCGTTTGCACGCCTTTTCAGCCACGCAGCGGCTGGCTGTGGCCGGCTGCTGCCCACACAGGCTCGGGAGGCCTACCCGTCGCTACACACCGGCCGCGAGAGTACATCTCACCGCCCCACCGGCCACGGAGGCTGCTCCACCGCTCCACCGGCCGCGGGAGGCTGCTCCACAGCCCCACCCGGCCGTGGGAGGCTGTTCCACCGCTCCACCGGCCGCGTGAGGCTGATCCACCACCGTTCCACCGACCGCGGGAGGCTGCTCCACCGCTCCACCGACCGCGTGAGGCTGCTTCCACGCTCACGCTCACCGGCCGCGGGAGGCTGCTCCACCCGCTTCACCGCCATCTGCAGAGCACTCAACGCTGGCGCCCGTCACTTCCAGGCGACCGTCTACGCCTGCTGCTCGCCGCTAAACCTTGCCGTAAGAGCCGTGCTGCATCTATCTCCAGTTGCCTCCTGGTCACATCTGCCGCCGCACAGAACCGCACGTCGGTCGGCGTCCGCACGCTGATACCTCCCAGTGCAGTGATGCTATTCATGCCGAGGCACGACGTCCACACCCAGCGGTCGGTCGGGGCACTACCAGGACCTCGAGCATCGCTCGACGGTCGCTGGCGGCCGTCCACTTCCAGACTACCGTTCCCACACCGTGCTGCCCTCCACCGCGTAAATCTCGCCGAAATAGCTTGTATTCGGAGTCACATCGCGGCTGGATGTAGAGTGAGTCTCGTCGTGTCGTGTCGGCGTCGTGTGCGGCAGTTCGCCGTTGTGTGTGGAATGGTCTAGCCGCGATGTGACTCGAATTCACGCCCCGAACAGCACCTCTTATGCTCCTTTCAAGCCCACCCGCAACAAGATCGGCCCGCGACTCGCCGGCACCACCGCGTCCCACCCCACCGCGTCCGCGGGCTAACGCATCGCCTCTGAGCCGTGACCGTTTCCCTATGCTAGCACTGTCCTGGGGCGTGATCTATTAGCACATATGGTCCACCGTTGCAGGTATTTGAAGTCGAAAGTAATTAGATTATTTTTGGTGCTGCAGTCGTGGTACTACCCAGGATAGTCCTTAGACGTAACTGATCTTAAGGTTTCAACAATGTGTTTTTGAAATATGCCCAAAAGGCGGGGCGCTCCCTTTCAACTCAGCTTTCAGTGAAAATTTTGGGGTGGCGTTCTCGATTCTGCAATCCTGCGTACGACCTTGCGTATACTACTA